AGTTTGTTTGAGGCAAATGGTTGATAGAGTTTGATGAAAGTTTTGTTATTATGCTCTTTTGCATCTTTTTATGTCCTTAGCAAAGAGCCTCTTTGTGATTGAAGCTTTGTTTGGTCTTTTAAATCACTGCTGAGCTGGAAAATCGGGCATTTTTGTCTTTAACGTCTCGACATCACAACGTCTCGTCTTGTTTCGTGTAGTTTTTTTGTACTTCACTTACGTTATCTCTACTCACTTCAGCACTGTCAAGCCAAAGACAAATTTCCAGTGTGCACAATAAAAGTTCCTCTTTGTGTTTCTGTTTCATCAACATGATTCGCGCTGCCAAGAGATAAGAGCCCAAACACGGCAGTATCAGTCACACACTGCTGGTTTCTGTGGGTTCACTGTGTCAACAGATCCGTCACAGGCACCGAGTGTGTTGCCTTTGTTGTACATGAAGATGAAGTCCATCCAACTACAATGCACAGCACTTTTAACAGTCGCCGGTCTGATTGTTGGTGAAAGACCAGTTTGCTGCACTGACTGCAGAATCTACTTTAAACAGATTTATGCAGATAAAAAACATTTATGCAGAAACAAAGGTTTGACTTTCAGGCCGTTAAAGGTGAATTCACACACCAGCTACAGTAGAAATGATGCATGTGTGATCCGCCTTGTGCAAAAATCATTTTCTCAATCATAACATCCACTGGTCAAAGTAATTAGTTTTGATCCTGAGCCACCTATGTTTTGTTGACCTTTGCATTCCTCATTCACCCTGTGTAGATCAAGAATATGAATCTACACTGTGAATATACCCACATTTGCATGCAGCAATCTGTGTGTGTGTGTGTGTGTTTCTATTTCAGGGCAAATTCTTCTTTGTTGTTAGCGCACCGCTGCCTTGAGCACGGAGGCCCCAGAAAGTGGAGCAGCACAATAGCTTTGATGTTGTGATGTCTGCAGGGTGGTGTAAGAGCTGCAGCCTGCCTGCTGTGTGGACGGAGACTGAGACGTATACAAGACCCTCTGACAGCACAGATTAGTGTAAGAGTGTGTAAGACAGCCCAGGATTGACGTGTGAAAACACTCACTGCTACACACACTGACAGGAGTGGGTTCACACACAGAGAGAGAGAGAGAGAGAGAGCAGCGCAGATGCACATGAGAGAATGGAGTGACAGTCATATACTTTTCTATATAATGTTCACTTAACAAAGGCTCATTACTGACTCAGAGCTGCTGATACTAGACTGACCTTGTGGCTGGTGCTGATTCATAGAAAACACACAGAAAACCGTTCAGAGAGTCAAACACCCACTCAAGTTTTCAATGACATTCTGAATAGATAAGTACTTTATTTATTTTTTTTTGTCCCAGACAAAAATCCAGTCGACACAACAGCAATATAATAAAGAAATAAATGTGAGAATTACTGTTTTGCAAAATGCCATTACGAAGCAGTTATTGTGTTAGATTCAAATTCCACCTCTTTCTGTTTTTTGGCAATTCATCAGCAGAGGAGAGGATCAAAGTGCTAATTATGTTTCCTGCTTCAGGGGATTGAATGTGTATATTTCCCACCACATTTCTCTCTCCTCTTTTTTCTCTACCTGTGTGATTCAAAAGCGTGTCCCTCCGCTGTGACGGCTCGTGGCGGTTGTGCTGTTCATCTCGTATCAGAGGAGTGACGCTAGCAGTGGTAAATTTAGTGCAGGCAGACAGGAAGTTTGGCACCAGAAATAGAGAGGGGAACTGAACGCCTTGACGCTGCCGGTTAGACTGAATGAATGTGACTGGTCCAGGTGTGAGCAGACTTATATCCTCATGAGCGATGAAGGAACTGTGGTGAAATGATGATGATTGCAATCTGACACGTGTGGGAGAGGAAAACTGAGAAAGAAAAAAAAAACTTAAAATGATGGAAGGAGTTTGGGGTGAAACAGCATCACATTAACCATGAGATGATCTCTGACCCAGAGGAGAACAACTTAATGAGCCCGTGTTTTTTTGTGCATTTTGAAGATGCAATAATTGTTTGTTTTTTTTTTCAACCTTGCAAACATTCAGCAGGGTGGATGAATAATTCATATGTTTATCATTACAGATCCTCATTAATCTGAACCTTATAGACACACTAACCTATTAACTCAACATGTTTGATGCTGAAAAGCCAATGTAAAACCTATTAATAGCGATCGTATAATTATCATTCTGTGATGAAGTCACTTAAACTACAAATCAGGCCTGTACAGGACACTCAAGGATACATGTGAGGAGGGGACTCAGAGATTGTACTGTGTGTGCTGTTTGAGTTTAATAGTAAATAGTGAGACTGAAAATATTATTTTTCTGTTCAGAGCAAGTTCATCACAGGCAGCAGCTGCAGAACTGAACATCAGAGTCGAAAAGAGCTGCTCGTGCATACAGTTGCTCAATAGCCTGTGGGTGTAGTCTTTATTGTCTGCGAGGTTATGTTGTGATGTTGTGAGTTATCGAGGGATGAGATTATATTTGATCCTTGACTGAAAAATAGCAGTTTCAGGCTGTCCAGTCAGAACATGGAGGGCAGGGGCAGACACTTGTATATGACTGCCCTGCATCAATCATCCTGCTCTGTGATTGGACCATTTCTGTGGAAGTGACTGGAGGAGATGATTCCTGAGCAGCTCTCTGAGATTTCTCTCTCCGTCTGCCCCTGTCAGCTTCAATTTACTGTAGCACCAACTGGTCATGAGCAGACCAAGTAGGATGGCATTTAAAGTGTGTGTCTGTGTCCCGCACTTGCATATGTCCCGTGCATGAGTGTGTGCTGTCAAGGTAAATTCAGAGGCATCTGATTTATTCATTCGCTGCGGAGCAATTGTTAATTTTTCAACGAGTGTAGCGTGGACCGATCTACACTGCTGTAGGTTCCTACATTTGTGCACATGTGCACGTAAGAGTGTGTGTGTGTCCCATAACTGTCAGTCAGAAAAAAACAGTTTTTTTTTTTTTGTTGTTGCCTCAGCTCCTTCACAGCTTCTCTCTCTTTCTCTCTCTCTCTCTTTTCTCTCCACCACTCCATCTCCTTCTCCCTGTCTCCTCCGTTTTTCCTGCTCAAGTCTCTTTTAGCACAAGACCCTCATTTATTCATGCTTCTGGGCCTTCGATGCCATTTTCAGCAAGTTGCCAAGAATTCCTTTTTAAAAATTAACAGAGTTGACAAGTTAAAGAAAATAAATTAAACACAGTTGCCCTGCTGGTGCTCGAGCTGATTTCAAATGTGTGCACATCAAAACCACTAATGCAAGATAACGTGTACGACACAACCTGAGGGAAAGTTATTTCTACCTCTTTCTTTAAATGCATTTGTTGGGTTTGAATGAATACTGGTCCTATACGTTTCAGCTGCTTCCTACTGCTTTCCTAAGCAAGCTAGTATTCTTTATCCTAATGTTAGTCTGGTGCTTCTTTTCAAGAATACTTATCTTCAGAGAGGATAAATGTGTTGCTGTACGATGCTGTGTGTGCACCAATAGCACACACTCGTGCATAGTGAACATTCCTTATACTTTATCTTAAGTTTCTATGTCCCATTTTTCACACAGCTGGATGGCAAAATCGAAAATATCGGTGCATTAAAATCTCTGTCCCTCTTAAAGGAATAGTTTGTCATTTTCACACACTCGCAAATAGACAGAACACAAGCAAATTCAATTTGACAACACATGTGCAACCAAATACACAAATGCGCTGCAAGTAGCACAAATGACAACAGAAGTGTTTCCGGGGGACACCAGAAAAGCGATGGACCTGGCTGGGACGTCCTTGTTGTTCAGTGCTTTGTGACTTTTGAAGTTAAAAACAAAAAAAACAAAAAAAATGATGCATCATAATACATCCATGCAAGTGCTTCCCAGCTGGGTTCATCACTGTAGGTATCACTCTTCTCATCCCTTAGCAAAAAGGCAGATAAGCATATTCCCCAAAATGTCAAATTACTGCTGTCACAGTATCCTTCAAATATCATTCATGTGTTTGCAGCACTACTGTCTCTCACTGTACGTTATGCCGCATCTTAAAAACCAGGAATTTTCCCTTTTTCCCTCTTTTCTCTCCTTCTCTGACGCAGCTCTTTCACTTGGCCTCAGGGTTTGATCCACTAATTTTAGCTTGGCAAAGAGGCAAAGACACAGATGGGACTCTTCTTGTTATTCTCATTTGCAAGTCAAAATTGTTTCTCTGTTCCTCCCCTGTGTTTTTCCTCATCATCCCTCATCCCTCCTTGCACCTTGATTTTCTATCCCCCCCCCCCCCCCCCCCCCACTCTGCAGAGATTCTGAATGTGCCTTTTGTCTGTAAAACACATGGTAAAGGTCATGAAACTCCCCGTAATGTAATGTAGTGTGTGTGTGTGTGTGTGTGTGTGTGTGTGTGTGTGTGTGTAGCAGGAGATGCATGGGCTGTGATTATGCAGTCATATGGACAAGCAAGCAGACCCAACACTGGAGGCCACACACACACACACACACACACACACACACACACACACACGCGCACACACACACACATTGCGATCGCCTCTCATTAAGAACATAAACAGATGCTGGACAAGCTCTTGATTACATTTGGATTAGACCATTAGCGTAACACAGGATTAGAAGACTGAGTTGTTGCCCTGTTCACTGTAATTATCTCACTTACATCCTCAGACAAATATACAGCATTCAGTTTTATTCTTAGAGGAAATTTTGACCCTAAAAACACTTATCAGGAAACTCTATTGGCGGTAACAGCTGACCGGTGTGCTTTCTTTCTCAGACAAACGAGGAAGCAGAGAGGATTATACCTTTATTAGACTGGACAAGTCAGTGATTTTAGAAACATGCTGAACATTATAAATTGATGGTATCAAACAGCATAAGAATACCCAAGGGTGGATTTTCCTTAAATCACTTGTTTCACACACAGTCTCTCCATAATGAACTCTCTCTCTCTCTCTCTCTCTCTTCTCTCTCTGTCTCTTCCACTCCCAGTGAGCAGAGTATCTGCCAGGCGCGGGCCTCGGTCATGGTCTACGATGACACCAGTAAGAAGTGGGTGCCCATCAAGCCCGGACAGCAGGGATTCAGCCGCATCAACATCTACCACAACACTGCCAACAACACGTTCAGAGTGGTGGGCGTCAAACTGCAGGACCAGCAGGTAACGGCCATGACGCACCGGCTGCGGTGTGAGAAAAGTGAAGACAGGGTGTTACTAGTTTCTGCCGTTCAGTCACTAGAGAGAGAGAGATTTCATTGTTCTGCACGAGGGTTGCAGCACGGGGTTTTAGATTGTGATTGTGTGTTTCCTTTTGAAGTAACATGCATGAAAAAAAAACGAGAGACAACGGTGACTGTTTAAAGCCGATACTTGTGCATGTGTGAACGATGTCTTCTGCTTCCTGGCTGTCAAAGGGCTCTGTGTGGTCCTAGTTTCTTTACATCGTACCAAAAGGTGCGCAGACTTACAACCTGTCATCATGTCATCACCCTCGAGGTTCGAGGGGACAAAAATTTTGGTCCCCACGGGGAGAGACAACATTTTTAAGGGTTAAGACTTGATTTTAGGGTCAGGGTTAGGTTAGTGTGTGTGTGTGTGTGTGTGTGTGTGTGTGTGTGTGTGTGTGTGTGTGTGTCTGTGTGTGTGCATGTGTGTGTGTGTGGAGCCTAATGTTTCATTAAAGGTCTTTAGTAGCACTAATCCTTCTCCGCTGTGACTTGACTGGAATCTTCTTCCCGTCTGTCAGTCTCCTAAAGCAGCGTCTCGCTCAGCTCTCCTCCATGTGTGTTTATGTGTGTAGAGATAAGACACAGGACACACAGTAAAATTGGGTTTATCAGACACAATAACAATCAAAAACAGAATCAAACTGCCAACAACAAACATGCAACCATAAAATTAATGGAGTTGTCTATTTGCACCAGGGTGAAAATAATCACATGGCAGCTATTCAGGTATTTACAGCTGTATGGGACGCCCAGTGGATCCCTAAGCACCTTGTTTTTTTGTGGCATTAACAAATGGTGTACAGGACGGCACAAATTGTTGCAATGTGCTTTTTAATAAGCGCCATATGTTTATTACTTGGAACCAATAGCCAACCCAGGTGCAAATAGCATGTGCCTACTGGAATCTGAGTGAACTGATGTTGGATTCTTCAACAAGGCAGAAATACACTCACTCATTAAAACAATCATCTAATTATTATCTAAAAAACCTTGAGTTCAAACACAGAACACATATTCACATAACAAAATACAAATACTTATTAACTGTAAAAAATATATACATTGAAATTAAAATGAGACATTTGGGCAAATACACACAAAGTCCTCAGAAAGTAAGAAGTATAATAAAGAATATTATGTAATTATTTTTTTATATACAGTATATATATATATATATATATATATATTTAGTACATTCTCCAAAAGGAGGCCGTTGCTTCAAAAAGTTGAGTATGAAAATAAAAAAAAAAGAGCAGCTGTGGCAAAAAACATGGCGAGCAGTATATTCTTCACAACAGTGTTTGTTGCATATTATAGCTCTTGATGTAAGCTACATAAAACTTGTGCCAGGTGACAAATCCAAAGCTTTTTACCAGCTGTTCTACCCATGATTGCTGCTACAAAAATGTTTTGTTTTTCATCTTTACAGTGGGACTGATGACAAAACCCAAATCTTTAAATCCACACAAACACACAGTGATTAATTCTGTGGCATTTAAAGGTCTTTCTCTCCCAGTAACACAACCAGAGAGTAGGGATCATGTCTGTATTCACCACCCCCCCCCCCCCCCCCCCACCCTGCAGATAAAGAAGGTTTATAGAATTTCTTTAATAAAATGCAGCGCTTTCTCTCATCTACTCTCCCCTTCTTCCTCTCCCGTAGGTAGTCATTAACTACTCCATAGTGAAGGGCCTCAAGTACAACCAGGCCACGCCGACCTTCCACCAGTGGCGGGACGCCAGGCAGGTCTATGGCCTCAACTTCGCCAGCAAGGAGGAGGCCACCACCTTCTCCAACGCCATGCTCTTCGCCCTCAACGTCCTCAGCGCTCAGGATGGAGGTATGTTTTCCCTCAGTTCATTTCACACACATTTCCTGCACAAATGAGCACATATGGAAAACTTCTTAGGAAAGCCAATTATGGACAATTTCCTTATTTGAGGAGGCACTCACACACTCGTTATTACCTTTTACCTTCCTGACCCTTAACTCCCTCCTGGAGTATCAGATCGGCTCCTAGCACTCATATGGTCGATTCAAAAAGCAGACTGAACACAGCTTGGGAAGTTTCATGTCAGCAGATAAAGTGCTTGTCATCATTCACATGACGGTCATATTTGGGGCAGGAGAACAAGTAGAGATGGCCTCAAATTACTGTAAAAGACATTGTGGGTGCAGCAGTTTATAAATGTAGGCAAATATTAATACGGTGCATATCAATAATGTAGTAAAATATTTGAGTGCAGCAGGCCATGGATGGATGTATGATCATTTAGACGGCTGATGCTCTGTCAGACATCTTGTCTTACAGTGTAGCCAACAGTTTCCTACCTCCCTCATGCCAGGATGAAATAAATGTATTTTTCATCTTAAACTGATAAAGTCTTTTTCCCCAACCATCCCCGGGTTGTTGGGGGGGGGGGGGGGGGGCTTTACTCCACAGCAATCTCTCAACTATCTTGTATTGTGTTCTCAACTATTTTTAGTAGTAGTAGTCTGCAAATACATGAAAGATTTTTTTTTAAAGCCTAAAGATAATTAAATTAAAATAAACGGACAGTAACTCCCTGGTCTTATAATGTGGGTTATTTACAATATGACAACATTGAAGTTATTCAGTTATTTATTTAGGTTTTTATTGTTCTTTATATCTATTTTTGAAAATTCGACTAATGTGAACATTTGGAATTGAAAAAAAATGTTTCGATTTTGTATATTTTTTGGTTGGTGTCAGATTATCTATTACATAATTGCGATGAACGCTGATTGGAGGGGCCCCAACAGACTCTAGAATCGCCACTGAACCAACCAACCCGGTACTTGTGCTGCCGGCTGAATCCCTGTTTGGACATGATGGCTCACATATCTCAGGAATGGAGAAAGTGTTGCAGCTAACCATAGACAGACAGAATGCTTTCTTGTAGTGGTTGCAAGTGTTTAGGATTCAAACATCTTGCCTCCAGATCTGATGATGATGATGATGATGATGATGATGAGGAGGAGGATTATGTGACAAACCCACTGATTTCCAATGTGAAACAGTCATTTAGATTTTTTTGAAAGCATAAATCTTTGTCAAATCTGAATATGATCCTATAATTTGAATGAAAATCTGTCTGCAGGGAGTTTCTTTGTTGCATTTCATCCCTTCATTTCCTGTCACCTCTCTATCGTCTCCTATCAACCGTGCTCATGAGTCTTAGAATATAGATCAGCTTCATCTTGACACCTAGTCCCCTCTACTGGGCACTTTGGGATATAAGTCATGACGCAGCATCCACAGCAAATGGTATCTGAATACATATGCTCACCTACAGTTTTAGCAGCAAGGTTTTTAGACTGACTGTCAAAGTGAAATAAAAAAAAAAGAAGATAAAGGTGCACTGCATCCAGTCACATCTACGATTCTTTAATCTACCACAGAACTTTGACAAAAGCACAGGTGTAACTAATAAGGTGGTATTGCAATCTTATCCTCTAGCTCTGTGTGTGTGTGTGTGTGTGTGTGTGTGTGTGTGTGTGTGTGTGTGTGTGTATTTCAAAAAGAGAGAGACAGACTAAATATAAATTAGAGAGTGACAGAAGTAGAGACTGAAAGACAGAGTGAGTATCCCAGCTTGCCAGTCATTACTTCAGCAGCAGCAGCAGCGTGTCTCCCCCTGCAGCCCCCCTCAAGCCTCTTAATTAGAATGAGTCATTGAGAAGATCTCCCCCGGGTGCCGTGCTAGAGAGCAGATCTTTTCATCTGCCTAATAACACGGGAGGGGGAACAAAGAGGCTCGAGTGACAGCAGCCAAACACAAGTGCACATCTACACAAGAACAGGATACACACACTTGACAGATAGATAGACTGATAGCCTCAATGTTACCGGCTCGCTGCAACACACCAGTGACTCCAGCTGCATGAATCTGCGCACATAGGGGTATTTGCACATGTGACACACACCCACTGCAGAAAACACATGCACCATGTGTGTGTGTGTGAAAGAGAGACACGGTTGGCGTGTTGCTTCCTATTTTCACTTCCCCGCATGGTAAAGAACATGGTTTCAGCACAGCCGTGTGTACATCTGGTGTACTCCTTGTAAAGCAAAGATCAGGATGATGCGTTGGTCCTTGCTCTCTGATAAGCAAGTGTGACGACACCCTCTAGTGGTAAGGAGGTCACAGCCTGACCTTTGTCCTCAGTACAATACTGAGATTGTGGTACAAGTAATGGGCAATAAATTCACATACCAGTGTTTGGGATTATGCCCGTGTTTTCATACTGGGATAGCCGCAAACACAATTTGTGAAAAGGCCTATTTCTTTTTAAAGTCATTAATTGAGTCAATATATTGAAAATGTCCTGGTGGCAGCCTCACAAAGAGCATCACTGTCTGTTTTCTATTTCATATCAATCCGTATTAAGTATTGGGAGATTTTGTGGCTGACAATTATGCTGAGTAAGCAATTTTAAGACCAAATTCAGTGTTTTAGTAACGTGTGATGGCCATACAGTTTTGAGTGAATGAAACAATTTATAGATTGAATATTTGCTGATGGAAACAGTGTTTGACACAAATGTCCATTTGGTAGTAGTTCAGGAGCTTTTGATCATGTCACACAGTCCCTCCCAGCAGGTGGAGTTGTCTTGAAAATAGGCTCAGTCTGAACCAGGGATACATGTGGATCAGCTTGCTGTAATATCTGTGTGTGTGTGTGTGTGTGTAAGTTGCATGAGGCTGTGCCGCCTACAGACAAACCCGACCTTTTGAAACATTAACCATGATGCTCGCTGCGCTGCTGCCGCCTGAAGGTATGGATTACAAGAAGATGACAGATGATACTGTGGCTGGGTGCAGGAGGGGAGAAGGGCAGGTGAGGAGAGAGCGGTAGAGGGGGAGGTGATGGAGGGGTAGGAAGAGGAGGAAGAGGAAGAGGAAGGGTAGCCGTAGGCGAGAGATGGTCAGCAGGGAGTGGGTCTGTCAGTGTCTCTGTGTCTGTTACGGACGGTTCCTCTTCTTCAGCATGTCATGTAGGTAGTAAAGCTGTGTGTGTGTGTGTGTGTGTGTGTGTGTGTGTGTGTGTGTCTGAACCTCTGCGTGACTATCCTTATTTAAATTTATGTGTGTGTGTGTGTCTGTGCGTGTGTGCACTTGGTACTTAAATGGTTGCTGTGTCCATTACTATGAGTGTACTACTTTGTACTACTGATTGGACAGTTAGTGCTGCCATCAGCAGGTGTTATAATTTCACACTACACTATATAACACTACAGTCTATCTACATGAGTAGAAGTAAAAAGTAATCCATTTTTCAAAACCGCTTTTTAAAACTTTTTAGACGTGATCTTTATGACTTTCAAAAGTCTGACAGGACGGAGTTTACATGTACATATTTTTAAGTTAAACTACACCTCTGGTCTTTGATGGCTGACAGTGACTCCACAGTCTCTGATCACTTAATGCTAAATATTAATTCTGATGAATTACACTGTGGCTTAGGTAAAAGGAAAATTGCTGACTCCAAATCTGTAAATATAGTTACTTTACTTGGTGTTTTTGGATAGAACAGGCATTTTGAGCTTTGAGACCTTGTGAAGCTTATTTCCTACATCTTCTTGGCATTTTATGGATTAAATGATTTACCCTCTCAGACCCTGTGCCAATGGTAATCATCAAACCAATATTGGTCTCAACCAATAAAAATATACTGTTTTAAAATCTGACTTTGGCTTAGTAACGAAGTTCCAAAAACTTGTTTAAAACAAATTTGAACATATAGAGTAAGTTGCAATTGAACAGAGTAACGACATGATAACAGACCAGTATGAAAGACAGACAAAAGGATTGACCGACATACACTAAACTTTATATGCTCTGTGGGATTTAAAGTCTGCTTAGAAGGTACCAGAGCCTTAATTGGCCTTAAATTGACTGTTGATACATGACATATATGAAAAATCCCCTTGGAAACAAAAAGGTCTGTAACTATTATAGTGGACATGACCATGTGATGAATACATGCACTGACATAAAAACTTTATCCAGTTTCATTCCTACACTTAAATTCTTATTAGTGAAAAGATCAGGCCTGATAGCAGTTCACTGATAAAATAATAATCATTATTTGCCCTGTGTGACACAAATAATGACATGGAAACAAACTTGTAATTCGTTTGCATGCCTGTTGTGTCGGTGCGATCGTGTGTGTATATACGTGTGTGTGTGTGTGTGTGTGGGATGAGGTATCTGATAGTAGGCATGAGTCAGGTCTTTTGTAGTTCTGGGTTATTTTGGGGTTTCTGTTACTTGATCAATGGCAGCCATTAGCACCATCGGCTCGCCAGAGAGTCACTTCCATTAGAGATGTGGGCAGTGGAGAGTATCGCCAGTGAGTATTGACCCTGAAAAGGGCCTGACTGTGTAAAGCAGCAAAACTGTAATGTAAGGGACACCTTTCATTAGACAGGAGGGTTACAGGGTCTTTGGCAGGCGACCCAAATGAAAGACATTTTGTACTCTTTGACAACAACTCTCCATTAGCAACAGAATAAAAGTCTTTTCACAGCAAGCTTTCGCCTTTGTTCCTATAACTTTAAAAAGGTTTAAGACTTCATCACATTTTTCAATTCCTAAAAAAAGGCTGATGCCAAGACACAAATGCGAGCGTAAATTCTGAACCTTTCTTCTGAAGTTGTTGTCAGGAGGAACATTGGAGATTAATATCGTCCCAGGTGAGTTCAGTGATGTGAAAACACTCGCTGATTCACTCTGATTTGATTGAACTCCCTGAGCTGACGTTCTCTTGTCCTCATCGCGTCTTTAATTAATTACGCCCTATCTGGCTCTCCATCTGCAGGTCTCAATCGTGATGTTAAACAGATTACATCACGAATGCCTTGTAGCTCATGTCACATCATAAGCAAGAGGGGGAGATACTAGAGACAGCCACATCTCTGATCATGAGCCTCCTCTCCTGCGATTTCTGTACATCAATAAACTGACTTCAGGTCTTTTAACATAAAATTGCTGGTTTTGCATTTTTGTGCTACTAGAGTATTTTCAAAAAAATGTCACGGCTTTGCCTGAAAGGTATGGTGAAAAAAATGGACAAAAATCTCTCCTGCCTGTGAACTTTGACCCCAAGAACACATGTTACAGAAGCTGATTTTTGTGTGTGTGTGTGTGTGTGTGTGTGTGTGTGTGTGTGTGTGTGTGTGTGTGTGTGTGTGTGTGTGTGTGTGTGTGTGTGTGTGCTTGTTTTCAGTTTGGCATTTAGGTGAATTTAACATGTTAAAATAGACGGATACCCAGACAACAGTGTGTGTGCATGTGTGTGTGAGATGGGCGTATTGTTTTCACACAGCGTTGAGAGTCAAATGGAGCATCATGTATCCCTAGCAGAGCATTGTGGGTAACAGCAGTAAACAGAGGAGCAGTGTGGCAGCAGGGCTAAGCACCTCTGTTTTATGAGCAGTAGCACTGGATTATATTCTGCTTGCCTTCGACATTAACAGTGGATGAATCAATTTATGTTCATTTACCTAGAGTGAGGGATTAATATGCTTTTCATTCCACATTACTCATTACAGAGGAAAGAGGACATAATGATCAACCGCTATTTAATTCCCTGTCATTTGGTGGTTAATTGTCTTGACTGGCACTAATATTAATTAACATTACACAGCTGGTAATGGATTATTGAGGCCAGCTTCACTTTATCTGTGTGTCTTTTTCTCTCTCTCTTCTTGTATTTGCATCTCAAGGTCCAGCTGTCCAGCGCCAAGTCCAGAATGGACCGACTTCAGATGAGATAGAAGCTCAGAGAGCGAGGTAAAATTTATTAACTGAGAACATACTGCTGAAATGGTTTGCGTACTCTGCAACATTAAACCTGTATTAACTGCCTCCTGCTTGGCGGCGGCAGAAACCAGCTGTAAACACAACGCTGTTTGCGAACGGTTGCTAATTTAATTTGGACCGACATTACCGTTCATTTGAAGTCCAATATTCATTGTCCTTTTCGCTCTGTTTTGCTCTCCATCATGTGAAATTACCAAAACTGTTCTCACTGTGGCAGAACATTGTGTGTTCCTGTAGGATCCCATCATCCATAACAAGAAGCTGGTTGAAACAGCAGGTATTCAGGGCCTTTTAAATAAGAAGAGGAGTCCTGGAGGGAAGGCAATGCAACAAAAGCACAGGAGCACATTCAGAGTGACACTCCAAAGACTGAGCTTTTGAAAAAGATAAAGGCTTTCCTGCTATATTTAGAGCTTCCCACCAGTGACATTTACGGTCTGCTTCCAAAAGGTTTACTGCTGAGCCCTCTTGCATTTCAGAGCAGGTACGGCGGCTCATTCAGGACATTTTACTGAATTATCTCCAAACCAGTGGTTGGACTTTAAGTGAACTCAGTCTGAACGGTGGTGTGGTTAGCGTTCAAGGTAGAGAGTGCTCTCCCATGTGTCTGACAACCTGCCACACAAGAGAGAATATGAACTGTAACAACTGAGATCAGTAAACAAATGCCCTTAGTGACTTTTATTCCTGTTCTGTTTCTTCCCTCTCCTCCCATGAGCACCCCTCTGTCTCCCCCACAGGACTGACTCCCATGGGGGCCAGAGAAAGACAGTGAGCTTTTAAAAAAAACAACTCGTACACAAGAAGGTCTTTTTTTTCTGAATCATGGCGGCAGATTGACGAATCCAAAATAATGAATGAGTAGTATTTAAAATGACGCTTGAGGCAATTTCCATGGCTTACTAAGCGGCCTGCATTTCTTCCACTGTGGCTACTATTCCTTTTTCCCCTTCAGAGACAGACTCAGGCACAACTAGGTCTTTGTTGCTGTTTTTAAACCTATTTCAGCGCAGCTTTGCTTCATCCAAATACCAAATGCCAGGGCTTAAGAGAACAAATATGATGGGAGTTACGTCTCTATCTGATCCCATGTCTGCTAAACTGTACCTCAGGCACAAAGGATTACAGCTTTGATTGTGAGGGGAGATTGTGTGTTTATGTGTGTGGGTTTTTGGGTTTGTGTGTGTGTATGTGTGTGTATGTGTGTGCACGTGTGTTAGAGGACGCAAATTAATTTGACTGAGCTCTCTCCAGTGGTAGCGAGGCAGTATTGCTCAGCAGCTCCGCTCCTGCTGTGTGCGCTGCTGTCACGTCGGGGAGGTTGCTGGCTCAGCACTTCGACACACAGCTGGAAAATTCCACTTCCTCTCCATGAGCTGTCTCCTCTCTCTCTCTCTCTGTCTCTCTCTCTGTCTCTCTCCTGAGCCGTGACATACATATGGTTCTCACATCAAAGACAGAGATGTGAGGGAAGACGTGGACGGGTCGATGGGAGAGGTGAGGTGGAGAGAGGAGATGGACGGAGATGAAGGAGAGAGTGCGTTTGGACAGACGAGGAGGAAGACGTGTACTCCATGCTGTGGTGGTAAAAGGGAAACTGTGCAGCAATGTCAAAACATTATTCAAGATGAGTAGACACTGACATCAAGTCATGTAAAGTCTACAAACAACAAGTCAACCTGCAGCACAGTGACGGAAACAAAGAAAGTCATCCCACCTGCCACAGTTAAGATGCAATTTTGCTCAAAATAATGAAGCCATGGAAACTAAAGTTGCTCTTAAACCTAAGCAACATTTCAAAAAATTACCCATTTTTTCTTTTCAGCTGGAGGAGACAAAACAGCATCAGAATTTAGCATCTTCCAGCTCTGCGTCTTTTCGGTTTTTACAGCCCACAACTTTACTGTATAGTTTCTGTCTCACTGCTCTCATGAGCATCATTTCCAAAAGGCAGATGTTTTCAGTAGAATAACTCATAAATCTCACTGTACGACACCTGACCAAACTACAGAGGGACAAAGCTAGCGAGTATCTGGTGAACATGAACAAGCATATTTGTTGTTTGCAACAAGGACGTTTGGGGACAACTGACCATAAAATATTTCCACTTTTTTAACATAACATGTGCACAATGGCTCGGTTGATTGCTGGATTTGAAATCTTTTGAAATCACCATGCTTTGGGTCTGCTGATGTTTGAAGATTCCTCGTGAGGACTTCTCTCCGGCTGCCACTGTGAGATCGTTGGCTGAACTGTTCCTTCGGGTCAATAAAATGACACAGATAAGACGTGGCATTTGTGATATTAAGTGACCAGCTGTGTTTCCTTCCTGTCCCTTTAGGCAGATGATGGAGCAGCAGCAGCAGATGCAGGCACACATGGAGCGGGAGCGACGGTCCTCCAACTCAGGTATTCACATGAAGGGCGCCGCTCGACTGACATTTATATAGTGAAATTGTTTTTCTCATTCAAAATAAAACCTGTTTCCGTCATCATCTAAGTGCATCTGGACCCAAATCCTCATGAGCACAGGTCCATATAAAACTGAGTGGGTTTTTCTACGTCTTCACATGTCACGCTTTCCCTCCAGGTTCTCCTTTCCAAGGCCACCCTGCCGTGCTCTCTGTGGCCCCACCAGTAGTACCTCCCCCAATGAACATGGGTGGCCCTCCTCCCCCTCCGCCACCGCCGGGACCTCCGCCACCCTCAGCAGGGGCACCCCAACCTCCTCTCCCGCCGCCGCTACCCATGGGTGGAGGGAGTCACGCGGATGAGCCCCCCGCACCAACAGGACTCGCCGCTATGATCGCTGGAGCCAAACTGCGCCGTGTTCAAAGAGTGAGACCCCGGTTTATCTCTGTGGCTTTGATGTTTTGATGAAAATGCCCCAAGTCACTCAGGGTATAAGTGGATTATTTCTACCAAACCTGACTGACGTACTTGAAAAGTTTTCTATTTGTACATATCAGAAAGTAACAAGTAACTCTGGACTCTCCCCTCCTCTCTCCAGCCTGAGGACAGCTCTTCAAGCGCCAAAAACGATGCCAACCGAACAAGCGGAGGCAGCGGGGGACTGATGGAGGAGATGAACGCTCTGTTGGCACGAAGGTCAGAGCAAAGAACTGAGAAAATCACAAAACCATTTTACACCGATATCCTGCAGCCACATTTGACAATAATTGGTCATTGAAGTCTTTAATCAATGTGCGGTTCAAGATTAATTTGTGATTATTACACTCATTAAAACTATTGACAATCATGGATTTCGATGAAGTGCCTTGTTCTTATTTGAGGTTTCTTCTTTCCCCCCAGAAGGAAAGCAGCATCAGAGAAGCCAGACGACAGCCAAAATGTGAGTGAATGGAAAACAGTGATGGTTTGTAATTCATGAGGCTAGTCCTCGCTGTCTTTGTCAGAGAATCAGATTTTCTTTTAAACTCTGTTGTTTTGAGCAGGTGGGATTAATAAATGCTACATAACATGCCTCAAATGACAGTGTCCATGATTTGGATGATAATAATAATACTACTACCTTTGATGGTGGTTGGGGTACAGATGCTTATTGAATGATTCCCGTCTCTCTCTTTAGGACGACCCAAATTCTCCGTCACCCAGCACCCGGGGAGGACAGAATGCCACAGGTGGGGGAAGACTGAGGACAGGAAATATATTACAGCAATGCAAAGTTTTGTGTAATATTCTGTAGGTGGTGCGTGCATCTTCTGTCGTCTCAGTAAAGTCAAACATATTAGAAATTGACACGCAGACACACATGCAAGTCGCAGCCGAAGAGCACATCGTTTTTCACATTTAACAGCAGCAGCAGGCTTATTTGGACTGTATGTACTAAATGTACTGTGTGTATTATCGGAGTTGCATTGTTACTGAACAGGGATGACGATTCTCCATGATACAGTGTAATGGAAGTATTATTGAGCGGTAGATTGCTCAGCCGAGTTTCCACATTGGTGATTAAATCTAGACACCAATTTCTCTACCAACAGCAGAGTCACAAATGTAACCCGGCCCTGATGTAAATATGTATGCATGTATCCCTTTCCAGCCTGGCTAAATGTTGTCAGTTTGTCCTCCTGTCTATCTGAGGTTGTCAGTAAATCCCATCTGATCTGTGATGCTCCTTTTTGTGGTCTAGATGGTGCAAAGAAGCCGTGGGACCGAGCTAACTCTGCAGACAGGTCAATGGTTTCAAGGTGAGAGCTGGATGTACCACAGCTTGTTGGATATGTCTGTGAAACAGGATAACAGCAGTGAATCTAATGGAGAATGTTTTTTATTATGCAGGGTACGACCTGTGGGGAGCGGCAGTGACACAGACTCGTTAGACCTCGATAGAATGAAACAGGTAAAAAATAAATAAATAAATAAATAAAAATTTAAAAACTAACTCGCCAAAATGGGCTTTTAATCTTCCTCTTATTTTTATGTGACCACTTTGCTGTCAAAAATCATTTCCCAAAAGCTAATATGGATAGGAAGAAACAGATTGTATTTTTCCACAGTAAATAAAGAAATGTGTGATGCATTATGAACACATATGTTATTTATTTGTTTGTGCTTCACCAGGAAATCTTGGAAGAGGTGTTCCGTGAATTGCACAAAGTGAAGGATGAAATCATTGATGGTATGTTTAATTTTTTCCTGAAACACTAAAGCGGGGTAATCAATCAACATTTAGGAACGCAGTCTCTGTCCTAATTTACACTAATGAATGTTTAATTGGAAAACCATCCAGTGGGACGGTGAGCATTAGGTAGTTATGTGGAGTTGTGACCACTAGGTTGCACTAGAATCCCAGAAAACTGAATTCTGTCATTTCATCAAAGCCTACAATACATAGAGGAGCAGCAAAAGCATCTTTAGATAGATGATGAATCAGCACTGACAGACATGAACAATATGAATACCTTGACTTGTTACACTGTTAGTGAATATTATTATCACCTGATTAGGTAAAAATTTGCCAAACAACTCACGTGAATGTTTGTCACATTGCCAACCAGTCATTTGTATAACATTTTGAAAAAGTTAATAGATAATGTAGCCAAATAGATTCTCCAAATATGATAAGATTAACTTGCATGTAGCTAAAACCTCCTGAATAATGTCATCTTCATTTCTTAGGTCATTACATGAACATATTATCATATAATAATATGACTGTACAACAATATTATAGTAACAAATGGTGATAGAATACAAGATAATACAATCATTGAATACAGATTATATTATAGTCACTGCAACACATACATATTATAATAAATTAGAAAATAACCATGTTAATTGAATAAATATTGCAATGTTGACTAGTTAAAAATATGTTAAACAGCACATTATAGAAATGTTTATTACATTGTCAACCAATGTGCTATAGAGTGGGGGGGTTGTATTTTTTTGTGTTTATTATTTATAATACTTCTATTCCCATCTATTTATAACACATCTATCCTGTTCCTATGTTTTCTCTCGTTACAGCCATTAGACATGAACTCAGTCGAGTTAGCACGACATAATCTTTCAGAGCCACTCCTCGACATGAACCACCTTTTTGAACCATTGCCCCTGCAGCAGCTGCTGTGGCCCTGAAGAGGAGGAGAAGGAGGAGGAAGAGAGGTCAGGAACGGAGGCCCAAACTGTGACATCAACTCATCCTGTTCAGCTGTGGTGTTGAAGCAATGCAGCAACGTTGATCTAACACCTCAGACATGTCTGTGTAACATTTGGTTTGTTTGTGTGGGGACAAAGATGTGAATGGGGCACACTTCTCGCACTGATTACTCTGATTTCTTAACATTTCCTGTCTGTTTGTTAGCCCAGTTCGCCCCTCTGTCCTCGGCCTAAAGGAAAATGGATAAAATTCATATGATTTTATTTGTTTTGCTTTTTTCACAGGTTTGTTTTAAACATTTTTTTATTATTACTATCATTTTCATTATTACTACTATCATTTTTATGATTGTCAATGTAATGTTAATATGAATAGTAGTAGTGTAGTGAGTACAATGGTAATAATGAGGAAATGATAATGAGAATATGATAGTAAGGATAATGTTGGTAATTATTATTGCACATTATTTTATGTCAGCCTTTTGTATTTTATATTGGTTCTTTTCATTTGGTTTCATTTTAGATACACTTGCGAGCACATCCAATTTTTTTTTTCTCATCATTTGACTTGGAACATTTTTTAAAAAAAGGTTTTTTATCCTTTTCGCCAACACAGCTATGTGTGGAACCATGGCAGAAAAAAACAGGCTCAGACCTGAAACCAAGGGTGGAATAAACTTCTTTGGATATTGCAATCGTATAAACAAAAAAAGAAAAAAAAATTAAATAATACACCAGAGTATTTGTGATCATGTTGTTAATAAAATGTTTATTGGCTGCAAGGATATGGTGAAGTATTGTTCATTTTATTCTCTTCTTTTATGACAAAGTGCTTCCTGGTTTGACAAAAGAAAAAGAAACGCACTACGTTTAAAATGAATTCAAATAAAACTGTGAACAATGTCTTGGATAAATGAGGCCATTTCCTTCCTTTTGTGTTTGTTTGGTGCTATTTTGATGCCTGTCTGGTGCTTTTGTCTGACTGCAATTTCTCTCTCTTTTCAGTTACATTTTTTTTTAACACAAAAACCTGTTTTTATTGAGTAGGTGCCATAAATTGCAGCTAGTGCAGCACAAGTGTGAAACATCTGAGCTGTTTCTGTGCAGCCTTATTGTGTTATCAGAGTGTGGCACACGGTGTAGGATGCTGTCATACTAAACTACCCTGCAAGAATATTTGCTAAATAGATGCAAAAGATAAACCCCAAAAATCTGTTGATGTATTTATTGAGTATTAATTAGCCCAAATTATTTGTCATAGTTATCTGTAAATTCCTTATGAACTGGTTATAATACCAAACAGATTCAGCCATAGGTGTGGGGCCTGTTCATAAAACGCTGCAGGCTTCACTGTTAGTGAAAACAAACCCACACAAAACCTAGAAATGACTTTTAGGTTTGATAGAAAAACAGAGAATGTCACTTGCAGGGTTGCTGTTGCTGTTTACAAATATTTATAGGCCTATAGTTCAAAGTGGGGTGGCATTAAAAGCAGAATCCACACTGACTTGGAGACAGGGTAGAAAACTGCTGCAGCACTGTTTTTCGTACAGAGCTCATGGCCACACCCTAATCAGTGATGTCACAGCAGGTGTTTGTTTGCTGGCAATGGCAGAACACCTACTGTAACATTACTGGTTGGGATGTGCAGCAGCAGTGCAGCAACATTTTCTACCACTACCAGATTCAGCATTGAGTAACTATTTACAAGGACAACACTGAGTAATATACTTCTACACAGGAAGCAAAATATGAGAAAAACTTCAATAAATGAGTGGAGGGATACAATACGTACAGGGCATGAGGGGTCACTGAGAAGATTGATGAGTGCGAGAATGATGTAAACCATACTGTATGCTATGGCTTTCACAGTCACCAGATCTCAACCCAACTGACCACTTGAGGGAGATTTTGGACTGATGTGTTAGACAGCACTCTCCACCACCATCATCAAAATACCAACTGAGGGAATATCTTTTTGAGAAATGTGTCCCATCCGTTCAGTAGAGCTCCACGGACTTTATGACAAGGAGAATTGTAGCTCTTCTGGTGACTATTTCATGTTTGTTTTTGCTTTAATATGTCACATGTTGAAGTCACATGACATATAACTAATAATAAAAGCTGAAAATAAATTTTGTGTCTTTGGTGAAAAATGTTCTACAGTAGGTTTCAGGATGTAGATGCTGGACAATCAAAAAGTCCAATCAGGACCAATAAAATCAATCAATCAAGACCAATCAATAAGGTCAGTTTAACCCCTATCTATTATATAATTTTGGGCTCTGGTCATTTGTGATTGATATTGGCTATTTTGGACATTTTATGGACAAAATTGTTGTTCGATTAATTGAAAACATAATGTATAGGTCCTATATATCAATAGTCAAACAGTTAGCGCCTTAATTCCTAATAGAAAACACTCGTTCACTTCATTGACTTTTATTATGTTATTTACCCGTTAAATGACAGATGAGTACTTTTAGGACAAAAATAATTAAACCTCATGTGTGCAGTTTTACCCCAACCCCAAATGCCACTAGAAATATTATGATAACTGGGTTTACCAAAGTCTCGCGATGTTTCTGTATGAGAGTCCATAGTGGCGACGAGAACTGGCGTGGGCCGGAGTGAAGAGTTGTTATCGAAGAAGAGGGAGAACAGACAGAGGCAGGAGCAGAGCAGGGGGTGTGTGAGTCTGTTTGTGAGGTCCCAATAGGAGCACAACACGGCGTGAATGAGAGAGGCAAGCTGGCGGAATTCAACATGGCATCCGGAGATACGCTGTACATTGAGACAGACGGCTCGGAGATGCCGGCCGAGATCGTGGAGCTCCACGAGATAGAGGTGGAAACGATACCGGTGGAGACTATCGAGACCACGGTGGTCGGCGGGGATGACGACGACGACGACGGGCAGCCCATGATCGCGCTCCAGCCGCTGGTCACGGACGACCCCAGCTCGATCCACCACCACCAGGAGGTGATCCTGGTCCAGACCCGGGAGGAGGTGGTCGGCGGGGATGACTCGGACCTGCACACGGACGGCGGCGGCGGGTTTGAGGACCAGATCCTCATCCCGGTACCGGCTCCGGGGGTGGAGGACGAGTATATTGAGCAGACTTTGGTGACTGTGGCTGGGAAGAGCTCAGTGGGTCGGGTGAAACGGGGAGGCGGCACTGGTGGGAAGAAAGCGGGCAAAAAGAGCTACCTAAGCGGCGCGGAGGCTGGTGGAAGAAAATGGGAACAGAAGCAGGTGCAAATAAAGACACTGGAGGGGGAGTTTTCTGTTACAATGTGGGCATCGGGTAAGTAACGTTAGCCCAGCAGAGTCTGTCAGCTCCGTTGTTAGCCGTTGCATGAGGCCTCGTTGCCAGGGCGTTGTCCTACTGCACCAGACTAGTTCCTGGAGTGGTCCGTCGCACCGCCGTGAAAAGCGACAAATAATGCAAGTTTTCGATGCAAAACCCTACTGCATCACATCGAGATGTTTTTGTTTTGAAGGGAGGCCATGTTTTAGGTGTTGCTGGGCGCCGCCATATTCCCCGAGAATAGTAAGTATGGCGGCGGCCCCGAAAAAATGGCGATAGTCGCGGCCAGGCAGAGATGGCGGCGGTGCTTGGGGGAGAGACAGACAGCTGGGTTTGGGATATCTGCAGGCCGCAAAACAGTGGCGCACTTACCGCACAACAGCAGTTTATGTAGCGCCGGAGAATTGTGCAAAGTATGTGAAAGTTTAATATGCGTGAAAATTTGAGTCGGGTTCTGTTTAGCCAGTAAATGATTTAGCAGTTAGCTCTGGCTGCTGTTGGTGGTAGTTAACCAGACAGCTTTGCGTCCGCATTACGCTAGCTATCTCTGTACAGTGTGAAGGCACTGTGTACACAGTAATATTGGCCAGAGGGTAATCCATCATTACTATAAGAGGGCTTAATTAGGAAACCTATAGCTTATGTTTCCTGGGGTTGCTCTTTATTTCACCGCCAAATTGGAAAAAGCTGGTTAACCTATTCTTTACTTGTAATAAACCAGTTCATTTTGATTTTGAGAGAACACAGCTACGATCTGTAACTATTTTTAGTGCTCTCTGCTGGTTGGCAGAGAGTAGGGGGTCATCTTAATACATGAGTCGATCATTAGTGCAAAATTATCAGCAAGTTAAAAATGATTAGTTATTGTATTTGTTGTAGACCTATTTAAGTTTTTTTTCATATTATTTGATACATTGCACGTTTGCCATGTTCTTTTGTTATCTCAGTCAAGGCATGAAGTTTTTTGTGTAGCATTTGTGTTTGTGTTCGTGCAAAGTAATTCAAAGCGATTTACATAATGTATTACATTAAATTAAAAACAGCATACAGGTAACATTTTAATTATGTATTATTGGCACCAAAATTGGTAATAATCATTTGTTTTCTAAATTTTTACACATTAGGCCTACAGTCCAAATTACAAAGTAAAAACTGCAACATCGTCAGCAATAGGGAGCGAACTACAAGTAAATATCTCACACTTGATGTGTGAAAATAGGTCATCTTTTTATTCATGTTATTCCAATGTAATTATGCAACAATAATGTGACTCCAAATATATCCAGAGGAGAGGCAGCTGCGGATGTTTTCAGCTCCCTCAGGCTTGCAGCTAGGGAAATACCACTTTGTTATCGGTTCAGTCTCTGTAATGTGTTTCTAGATGACAATAAAGACATTGACCATGAGTCGGTGGTGGAGGAGCAGATCGTCGGGGAGAACTCCCCTCCAGATTACTCCGAGTACATGACAGGGAAGAAGTTGCCCCCTGGTGGCATCCCGGGGATCGACCTATCAGACCCCAAACAGCTGGCTGAATTTGCCAGGTAAGTGTGTGTTGGGGTCTCTGCATCACTTGTTCCAAGAAAGTAAACACGTTTGTTTCCTTAGAAAAATGACTGCTCGTGGACAACAGTGATGAATTTGCTAAATAGATGATGTTAATAAACCAGGTGGTGAAATATAGTGTTACAAAAATGGCTCTGACACAGCAATCAGATATCTTGTTATTAGAATCTGTCAGACAAAAACAAAAAAAAAACATTATTGCATTTATTGAAATTAAGTGTCTTTGTTTTTTCTGTTTAAATATTTGAAATTAAAAGGCCACTTGCTAAAACAATACATAAATAATTAGAATAAGAAGATCACAGATAAGAATGAATTAAATAACTGGTTAATTAAACCTTAAGCACAAGGTGTGAGCAAGCTGTGTGTGTGGTATTTATTGGGGAAGGTATATCATTGATATGTCTAAACAGAGGTGTCTAAAGGCTCCTCTTCCGTTGTAATGTGTTATAAAATTATGAATAACTGTAAATCACAAAATGTGTATGTGGTGCTTCTGCCCACACATGCCTGTTTAGCAACTTCCAGTTATATTCATTATTGATTATTCATGTAATTACTTTGTGGTTTAATCGTTTAGTGTTTAAAATGTTGATGAATGATGATTAAAATTGTTGCAGATTAGTCCACAACATGTGTCAGTATTTAGTTGCC